GTGTTTCATTCTTTCACTGTGTGCGACAACCTGCTGAAGTTCCTGTCTGGTAACCACCCAGTCCTACTGCATTGCTTCACAGCTTGAGAACCCCAGGCCCAGAGAGACTGAGTGCCGTCCTTATGAGCTCTTTACCAGACCCCCGTGCTGCCCCCCACGCGAGTCAGTCACTCTAGTGCCTTGCGCCTGTCTTTCCCTACCAAGGGTTCACTCGGGTGGGCCTGGACAGTCAGGAATTATTTCCTTTCTCTGGATTTTCCACTCATCCCTTCCTCGCCTCTTCCCATCTGAGGAGTTTGCAACCAATCAGGGAAATGATGTTACTTCTACACCCGAGACTTCCTTTGAAATCCATCCGGGAAGTGTCTGTCGTGTGTGTTGCCTTTCTGACACCCACAAGAGACTCCTGAGCGATTTAAACTTCTAGATCCCGTGCCCGTAGAGGCAGAGGCCAGGACTGACTTAGCTATTTCAGCTTTGTATTTCCCCATCTCTGACTCTGGGCCTTGCGCTTAGGAGTTCAATAAATGTTTGTTGCAGTTGTTAAATTCACTGGGCCAAACATTATAATTTAGAGGTTGGAACAATTTATCTCTCAGAAACAAAATGTCCCCAGATTGCCTTGCCTTAGGGGCTCTCACATCTATTTTTCCTGCATATAGTAAATTTTATTGTACATAAATTGTACCTCCATTAAAAAAAAAGTCATGTGCCTTTGGGAGGATCATATATAGAAAATTGTCCCTTTTCTGAGCAGGGTCTCTGTTGGATTCTGACAGAGGCTGGATTCTACTTCAAACACGTAGATTCATTAATTAGGGTCATTTGTTCTGCTGTGAGCCAAGGAGGACGTGTAAAGCCTGCTCAGGAGAGAATTAATTTGTCCTTTTCTCTGTACTTTCCGGAGTACTCCTAGCAGATTCTCCAAGCCTGCGGCCTCATACATATGTTCTGATGGGCTAATTGTTAAGGCGACATTTGTAAATTAATCTCTGACTTGAGCTAAGTGGTTTCCCCTAATGGCTTTCATTCAGCGATTCTCACTTTTGGCCATAAGTCAGCTTCCTTGGAACAGCCAGTGAGTGGTAGAGGTGCCTGGGCTCCCCTCGCCCGGTTGTGATGCGCTGGTCCTGAGCGGGGTGAGGAGGGCACCTCTGTTTGGAAAGAGAAGCTCCCTAGGTGATAGGATTCTGGCACTAACTAGTTTTGTGAGTCTTGGATCCTAGGCCCTCTTTGAAGGCCCCTGTATCATCATGTCACAGGCTGATTGGAAGCATTTGGGCCTCAGGCTGGCATCCGAAGCCAAGGTCAGGGACAGTCGGTGGCCCGGAAAAGCCCCCTTTCCTGTTTCAGTCCCTTCTGTGTCCACGTCCCTGAATCATCCCTTTCCCATGAGCTCCAGTAACTGAAGGGGGTACTCTTCAGGAGGCCATAGTGTTTTTCATTTGTATGACATTTCCCAGGCACGTGCAAGCTCTTCATGGCCCTCTAGGATTTCCATCTAGGGAGAGAACTTTGAGCCTCCCTTTCACTCTGTTCATCACAGACTCCTTGTGATAAGGAAGACAGATTTTTGTTGTTGTTGTTGTTTTAATGCGCTGTGTGTGTTCCTTGCATTCTTCTGTGCAAACACGTGTCATGTTTCATCCTGAGTTGTGAAAATAGGTGAGTCACAGGCACCATTGTTCCTATGACATTTATCAAATTGCTTTTGTTTTTAGGAATCAGGCACCCTGGAAATATCATTCCCTATTTGGTATTACCACACAGCAAACGGGTGTTTTTGGTAAGTCAGAGAACACAGCAGCTGGTACCATAATGGGGAGCCAGGGTGATGGGGTGAGGCCCGTCGAAGAGAAGCTGGACAAGTTTGGCAGGCTACGGTGAAAGTTAGTAAAGTGGTGTCTTGAGGGGCAGCACTCAAGATGGGACCTGAGGTGGCCTTTAAAGAGTTTCAGTCTTCCTTTCCCTGAGACTGTGGATCCCCTGAGGTTGCAAAAGGACTCTTTGAGATTGAAGAGAGATTGAGACAAGAGCACCTATTGTTCCTGCCCTTTTCAAACTTCTCCATGCATTAGTGACCCAATAGCCAGTAGCTTGTCCTACAGCGGCTACACCTGTACTGTACAGCACATTGCTAATCGATGATGGCCTATGATTAATCTAATAAGGATGACTGTAGGAAGAGTGTATTTCCTGACTTCAAGTGCATTTCACATTTTTGTTTCTCTTGGGGCTTATACATCGTGTAAGGTGACTATTTGGTGCTCTGTAATGGAACTGTTTACTGTTTGGGCTAAAATTAAATTGTTTCATGTTCTCCAATTTTTAAAATTTAGAGTAGGATTCTCAGAGAGTAGGGATTTATTAAAGAGTCAGAGAGAGGGAGAGAATGAACTCATCTTGCTCAGTGGCTTGGTTAGGCCCATGTGAAAGTCAAATCTCTGTCCCTGTTTTGGGGGCCAGTTCCAGGGGTCGGCACCTGGATCTAGGTTGACAAAGTAATCAAGCCTGATGGGATAAAGAGGCCTTTGCACATTTAACGAGTACATGCATAGTTACCTTTATACTGCAAAGCAAGCGTTGGTCATTTCACGCACGGAACCAGATGACTGTGGATGGCGGTGAGTGGGACACTTTGGACTCCTTGTACCACCTAAAGAGAAAACCCGGCAGAACATGTGGACCCAAGCATAGGTCGGTGGACAGAGCCCTCAGTCCCTGATGCTGGGAGGAGCCCCGGAGGGCATCGCCCTCCCTGCTCCCCTCTGCTCTTAGCCTGAGAGATGCTGATATTTGAGTTCGCATCTCAAGAAAATGACAGGATTTCTCCCTCCTCAGGTCACTGGCTGATTTGGCTAAATAAGCAACACATTATGCCCATCACAGACACCTAGTGGGGGCAGCTGGGACAAATTAGTGCCAGTTACTTTGACCATCCTGATGCCAGGAAACCATCTTCGGTGCAAGAGTATGAGATCTTAGTTCCTTACAGAATGATGTACAGGCCACTTTCGAGTGTTTTTCCTTTGCTTTCCTGTGCCTGGGGTTTTTGTGGCATAGGACTGTCTAGCCAGTCTGACAAGAGCTCAGCATTCACAGACACGCACATGAAGCCAAATGGATAGGGATTAGTCTCGGGTCTGCTGTTTATGAATGAAGAGGCTTTGCCCAGCTGCTCTGGTCACACCCCTTCCCTTTGCAGCCTTTTGAGAATGAGGTCGGGCTGGGATCTAAGTGCTTAAGTCTCTGAAATAGCAGCACAGCTCCAATTTAATCTTAAACTATTTGTTTTGCTGCCACCTTCAGATAACAGAGAAAGAAAGCAGAGGCTTGTTTTTGCTTTTGTTTGTGTTTTGTGTTTACCTTTGCAAAGAGTGTAGGAATGAATGCACGGGCGAGGGAGGACTTGGAGGTAACCGGTCCAGAGGGATTCTCCTGGGGGGCTGGAGGGGAGAGTTTCCTTGGATTCAGCGGGACCATGTTTTGGTTTTTAAAACCAAATGGAAGAATAACATAAGCCCTGGTGGTGTATTATTTTAACGCTTCCTTTTATCAGGAAATTTTAGCAGTTGCTATGAAACTGCGTATTTCTTTTACAATGCCCAGTTATTGTGATTGTTGTCTTCTGTACTCTGTAGTCCACCATTCCCCTCCCAGTGCTCCATGGAGTTGTGCAATGTTTTAAATGAGTTTCTCATGCAGATTTCATTTCCCACCAGCTGCTTTGGCACACACTCAAAATACTAATGCATGTACATTTTTTTTCTCTTACACACCCATGTGTACACATATGCATTCCCACACTCATGCACACAGCTTGATCGTGCCCTTAGCCAATACCAGCAGAATGTCAGCTTGTAAATGTTCCAGAATACACATTTCTAGACTCTTTAACCCTAGGACTCTTTAAAATTTTCACATAGCTAAAAGATAACTTGTTGACTGGCAGGCAGGGACTGTGCCTAATGGTTGTGTTTATTTTCTGTTCGGAGGCTTAATTGTTGGCTGTTAGCTTCTTTTTAACCATCCTTTATTTGCATTAATAGTCTCTTCTGTGAAAGATTAAATAAACACTTTGGAACCTTGAATGAGGACAGAAGTGTCAGTATCAACCTAATCTGTTACATATTCATTTGATAAACTTCTGTGTGACAGGTGTCCATTGAAGGAGATGGCAGGCTGTCTTTTATAGTAAGGGTGATTAACTCTGAGTGAGGAGTCTAAAGAAGGACTGTCCTGTAACTGGGCAAATGCATTACTTAATTTGGGATTTCCTAAGACTTTGAGAAGTGTTATAACCACATGGATATATAGTATGCATCCAGTGAATGTATCAACATCTATATCTGTGGATTGTATGTGTGTAAAACCTACACATGTATATCCATATGAACATTTGTACAAGCCAATGTGCGCTTTTCAGATGGATACTTCTTTTTTGGAGACACCAAGTAGATTAGTGGCTATCTGAGGCTGCAGGGGTGAGATTGGGGATTAATTTCACAGGCATGAAGTATCAGGATGTTGAAGATTTTCTGAAAGTAGATTATGTGGTAGACTTACTACTTTTGCATTTACTAGAAGTCATTGAAGAGTTGCGTGCTTAGAATGGGTGAATTTTAATTGATGTCCCTGTATTTGAGTCCCTTTAGATCCTACGTTACAAATAATCTGAGAAATTGCACCACTTGCTTTTTTTTTCCCCTGAGGTTTGTAATGACTTCAGTTGCAGAGAAGCTGGACCTTGAGATAAACAGGGTCAGACAAAAACCCAGTGCTGTAGGATAGAAAAGTCTGCCCTGACCCCTATTGGCAAGGAGTGAGGTTGCTGCCCACTGCCAGGTAAGGACCAATGTCAAGGTAGCCAGGGAAGATTTCTAAGCAGGTGCCTGAAAGCACCTGGCACTGTGTTTCAGAGCTGCTGCTGCATGCATCAAGAAAAATAAGCATTCTGATGTTCCACTCGTAAGTGATGACATCTTTCTTTTCTTTTGCAGGTTGTCTTAGTCTTTGCTCTCAGCATTGGTGCACTTGTAATATACTTCATAGATTCGTCAAAGTGAGTATTCAAATACATTATCTGACTCTCTAAAACAAACATGACCCTTTACATTGGTGAATTTATTTACCTTGACACTCACCGTTACAAGGACCTCCTAAGTGTGGGAGGCTTTTAGAGGAAGGCAGGGCTGTTCTGTGCTGGTTTTCTGAATGGGAAAGAAAACTCTCTGAAGGCTGCACTGATTCTGCTGGCATGGGAGGGAGAGGCGTATGGGGTCAAACCATCTCTCTGGCTATTCTTATTTTTAAATAGCTGTTCTCTGATGAATTATTTTCACTGAAGATGTCAAGAAGTTTAGAGGGCTTTGATGGAAATTTTCAACCTACGTGAGGGTGACAGTGTCCACAGGTGCGAGTTTCAAACTGTTCTAGCCATGTTGGTAGAATTCTTTTCCTATCTGGGTTTCCCATGCTTTGACCTTATTGGGGGACAGATGAAAAAACATGGTGCCATTCTGTCATCTGCTAAGCAAATATTCAGCAGAAGCATGGCACCGTGGTACTTCTTGACTTGTGAAGGTAAGAAGGTAGAACGAGGAGTTCACGATGACTCCTAGGGGTGGAGGACCCTGGCCATCTGAGGATTCCGAGAGGGGACCTGGTGCAGATGCTTGGGACATTCATGCTGAATGAACTGGTGCTTCCAGGTGAGCCTGGGTCATTGATGGTGAAGACCTTTTGGGAAGCCAAAGAGCACTGACCAGGGGCTGCTAGATCACCAGTGGCCCCTTTGCTCTGGTTTCTGTGGGTGTCATCCCTGGGTGCATCATTTGTTCCATATGCTCTGTTGTAATTTTGAAGTTGACAGTGTCTAGGAAAGAAATTGAGCTGGAGTTAACTCCGACTAGCTTTTCTGTTGTGATGTGAACTTGCCTACTCTGGCGGAGTTCAGCGGCCTTGAGCTCATTGTCCTCATTATCTGCTTCGAGAGTGCCTTTAACTCTTTTAACTCCACCCCTAGTGTGGTTGGAGACCAGACTTTGATCCTAGGAAAGCTGCTCAGTGTCCTTGCTGATTTGAACTCTGAGCTTAGTGTGTTTTTCCTGTGGCTCGGGATGGTGGTGATTTCGTGCACATTTAAACTTTAAATTTCTCAGAGCCATTTGGTCACTGGCCAGAGGACTTTGTGTATTTGGGTGCAGAAGTCAAAATGACATGTCAGGGAAAATAAAGGAAAAAAAATTCCCCTCTAATCACCTGTCTGGGAACCAGTCAAGTCTGAGACTGAGAGATCTTGCAGATCATCCTTGTACAAGGCTGGGCTGCCCGTATCCACCTGGAATGGAGAGGGTCCTTCAGACATCCCCAGGGGATGAGAGTACACAGGCCCTCCCCATGAGAAACCCCTAGGCAAGAAAGAGGAGAGCTATTTTCAGCCTGGAAGACTCCAGTTGGCATGTCATTGAAGGTAAGCCCCCTTTTAATATTTACTCTTACTCATTCTAGTTCATATTTGAATTAAACTGGAGATCTTCTAAAGCCCTTGGTCTTATTTCTCCAATCTCTCCCCAGGGGTGTTCTCATATGTCGTAGGGTGTGTACCCTCTCACCTCCCATGCTGGGGCTCAGGAAAGAGGTTTGAACATGTAGTCTGTGTGCCCCAGAGAGAGCACGCCTTTATACGGAGGTGAGTGTGGTGATCTGTTGGAAGGACCCATGCCAGGGCCATTCCTCCCTTTCCCCTTTCCTCCCTTTCCGCCCATCTGTATTTCTTGGAAATAAAATGCTCTTGTTAGATGGATCTGGATTGTGTTCTTTTTAAAAAATATTTACTAGGAAACAGTCTTTGATTCTGTAGATTCTGGTGTTCTTGTCTCCATGGGGGAGGATGGGGAGGGATGAAATTCCCCAAGGCAGACCCTTTTCCCTAAATGCCCTGCCTACCTCCATGGCCTATGGATTTACTTCTGACTCTGCTAAGCCTTGCAGAAGCTGGCACTAGGAATCCTCCCTAATTCTGGCTTCTTGCATGACTGACGAGGTGTCCATACCAAGGCTGACCTTCAGTCTGGTCCTCAGCTTTCCCGGCAAAAAAGGCCAATAATCTTAGAAAAGAGACTGTCCTCGCACTCCCTGGAGACTTCCCTAGCTTGGTCTTAGCTTCAGACTTTCTCGCTTCTGAATCACTATTTAGCACATTTGTTTATGAGAACACATAGTGGCTCTTTATGTAGCCCCACGCAATTTCATTTGTGTCACTTCACTTGGTCCTGAGACTGCGTCCCAAGATTCTGACCCATCAGGGGCCCAGTCAGCGGCAGTCAGCATAAGGGTGTCTTCCTCTTCCTGGAGAAAGTCAGCAAGGATGCTCTGTTCAGTAAGGGGAAGAATTAAAGTAGAATCTGTAAAGCCAGCTTTATGGTAAGTCCTCACTTTTGTTCCTGAGAACAAGACCAAATTATCATCAATCCTAAGGAAAAGATAAAGTGAAATTGTATCCATGTGTAACATGCCAATGGCAAGAAGTAAGATAGTAGAATGTCAATTCTTGAAATCTGTCCTCATTCCAAATGTAACCCGTCCTACAGTCATCCTTTGGCAGGCCATGGAGGTGTCTTGGAAAGTAGCTTTAAATTTCTCTTGGAAATTATACTAAACCCTCACTCTGGGAAGAAGTATCTCGTATTCTTGAGATGAATTTATCCCCTTCAAATAAGCCAATCAGGGGTGAACTCATTGGGCCAATGTGGTCCATGAAATGGCTGTCTCCGTGTGTCTTTACCAGAGCCAGGCTCAGCAAACTGGAAGGGAATATCCCATCACACAAGTGACCCAGACCCCTGAAGTCACATGGAACACAGATTAAAATAGAAACCGGGCACCAGTGCTTGGCCTCAGAGCGAGCCAATTTAGTCCCTGCACACGGTGAGGAGACTGGAAGGTTATTTAGCTTCTGTGCATTGGCAGATGGGTAAGGCAGTTCAATAAATATTGTAACACTGGGTTATGATCTTTTCAACCTTTCAAAGCCTGTTTTACTACCAAGACGTGTAGGATAAGTCATTTCCAAAGCATTCTTCCCCTTGCATAGCTTTCCTTCTAAATTCAGAGGTGAGACAGACAGATCCCCGAGTTGGTCTTTTTTCCATTTAAGAGCCCTTCTTTGAGTCTTCACTTTCTCAGAGTGATCACTGTGGAAGAATCTTTTGTGTAGCCTCCAGTGATTACTGTCCGCCAAGGACAGGCTGTCCTCAGAACTCCTGGAGTCGAAAGCCAAAGAGAGTTGCATGTAAGCTGGGTGTGGTGGTGCATGCCTGTAATCCCAGCACTCGGGAGGCAGGAGGATCGCTGTGAGTTTGAGACCAGCCTGGGCTGCATAGTGAGTTCCAGGTCAGTCTCAACTACATAGTGACAGCCTGTCTCAATAAACCAAAGATTCTACTGCTACTGTGTTGAGCTAATGCTTCATCTTCCCCACAGCAGAATCTCTGGAAATGCCTGAGCAGGGGGAGATGTTCCAGCACATCTTGGATTGACACAAATGTCAGCGCCCTCACAAACGCAGAGGACTGCGACATTCACTGCATGCAGTAACCCTGTCCCCCCAAATATCTCCTCCATTTAGCTACCCTAAGATGGGTATTTGTCCAAGGAGCTCTTTTTTCTTGTTCTTTTTAAGAGGCTCCCTGCCCAATTTATGTCACACATCACTCCAGCTCCCTACTCTGACGTCTGTCAATGCCCACGCTTAGACCTTTTCTCCCACACACTCTGATCCGTATGAAACAGATTTTTTAAAAAAATTGTACAACCAAGTCAAAAGTGCTCTTCAGTGCCCTGGGAGTGCTAATGTCAACACTGTTGGTTCTGTCCTTCCCCTTGACACAAGCATGGTAATTCTTACCTAATAGATACAGAAAAAAAAAAAAAAAAAAAGATCTGCTGTCAGCATGAAGGCAGGATTCATGGAATGTGTAATGCAGCTTGCTTCCAGAATTTCAAGAGAAAGTGCGGAGAGGCAGCAGCTCAGAGCTCTGTGGATTTGCTTTTTTTTTTTTTTTCTTTTTTTCAGGAGCATTCTGGGAAAGGATGACTCATACATGTGAATATATTTATTTTTTCGATTCATGTTTAAATGCTGGTCCTTCTTAGGCTACGGTTATGTGGATTATGAATATTTAATGCTGGTTATACTGAAAATGAAGGTCAAGTCCTGCTCACTGGTGACTTCAAGGCAGGCTCTTGTCTCTGAAAGGCGCCGCTACCTGCTGTTAGCAGAGTAAAGCTGAAAGGTTACACATTGTTAAAATTTTCCTTAATGACTTTATCTGCTCCAAAATGGCTGGAACACAGTTAGGGCACCTGCTGATTTTGCCAGGCTCTGCTCTTGGCTGCTGGAGTTGGAGCTGCTGTTTTGGGAATATGGACATTAGAAAGGAGAAAAGGATCACAGCACACATTTTATAAAGCGTCTAATTCATGGGCTTGATTGCCAGGGTAACAGTAGTGTTTTGGCTGGAAAATGGGCTCTCCTCAGTTTATAACTTTTGCTCTGATATTCATTCATTCATTCATCCATCTTGCATGTATTCTGTCATTCATTTTACACTTATTCATACATTTTGTATTTAGTCTTTCATTTGAAATATCCTCAGTGTGATAATACTGAATATTTTCTGGGGGTAAAATTACTTATGCTTAGGTATGGTGAAGGAAAACCACATTTAAGGCCATGATGGAAACTGACCACTTTCATAGCCTCTGAAAATAGATTTGACACCATTGATGTAATGAAGATACTCAGAGTATTAGCAGAACTCGTTAGCCACTTCACAGTTTTACCTCCCATCTCCACATCCCTCTCCTGAGAAATTCTCTTTCTAAAGGGACCAGAGGCAGGTACTTGGAGGGAGCCAGCCTTGCGGGTAATGTGCAGTGTGTGAGCTACAGCCCAGCACTTTAAAATAAAAAACATTTGCAATCTCATTGGATTCTCTAAACGACCTCCTGTGACCCTTCCCACTTTGTAGATGCAGAGACCAAAGCTACAGAATTTGC